GGAAAGAGTTTCTGTGAGTAGTCCCCCAGTGGGTTTATGGAGCAGTCCCTCCTTCTGGAAGCTGTTTCTAGGATGTGCCTCCTGATTTTTATTAGTACTAAGGATTGCATATACAGGACAGAAGTCTGCATGGAATTCATAATATGGGCTTGTTTGCCACTTTTTCCTGCTTTCAGAAATGTGAAATGTTACTAGGAGTCTTCCTGGGATTCATCCTTCCCAAATTTTTAAAAAATTGTGGGGTTTTGTTCTATTTTTAAAGATTGTCACATAAATGTTAACTGAAAGTATGAAATCATGGGACAGTGCAAAACATTTGTTTGTCATTAGCTTTCCATAACACTGGTGCCAATGGATTGTGTTGTGAGGGGTTGTGAGCATTGGAGTAAGTGGAGTCTTTTATTATAAATGTCTTGCTAAGGATTGCAGGATTTATTGCAGGAGTGTTTTAGCTTTGATGATTTTCCAGCTGACTGCATCTATAGTTTGGATCAGTGGTTAGATGCTCAGTGGGTACAACTGGCTTCACTTGAGTGTAGTTAGTAGAAATGTGGTTGTGATGATAACCAAAGGTCGATGTGTTAAAAAAGGTAAAGAAAAAATTGTTACAGGGTGTTCCAATAAAGGAAACAGTGTATGAAAAGAATACCTGAGAGGAACAGAAAGGCTTCTGAAATTTTGCAACTGAATTTGGCCCACTATTTACACACCTCTGTCTGAAGCTTTTACTAACAAATCTGAAATAGGTTCTCCCTGGATAGACTGTTCCATGTGATAGGAATCTAAATTATACTGGAAAGGAACAACAGTAGGGTAATTTATAGGATCCTGAATTTATAACCTGCATAAAATATTTCACAATAGGCTAGGAATATTACTGCTTCTTTTTCTTCAGCTTGAGCTGACAATAGTTGCAATTTTTGTCAATACATGTAACAATCAACACACAGGATGGTCCATGTTCTGTTTTGGCAACCAAAGGACCACCTCATGAGCTGCTGTGAATGGCTGTTGTTCAACTGGAGGCAGTGGAGACTGGAGGGAAGGATTTTAGCCAATGGCTGTATCCAAAGTGGATTTAACACACATTTCTGTCACTGTACAGGAAGGTCTTGTATTAATCTCCACTGAAATATTTAGCAAAATAAGATAGACAAGCTATTTTTTTTTCCTGTGGTCTTAAGTGTCCAGAGGATAAAAAAAGGAATGTAATTATTCCACATTTAATTGCAATATATTGTTCTGCAGGCAAAGATAAGGGTAATCAAATCTTTGTGTCTGTCCTGTCTAGGGTATTCTATAGGCATTTATCATGGCTTTGCTTTATTGCCTCTGGGCCATGCTGCCTCATAACTCAGGGTTAAGATCCTCTCCAGAGGCTCCAGGAAGACTCTCTGTCTTAGTTTAAGCAGCTCTTTACAATTAGGCCTCTGGAGGCAGCATGACCTATTCAACAGGTCTGCAACTCAGCAAATCCCAGGCAAGCCCTGCTACTTCCCAGCTTTCAGGCCTTGGAGAATTAATTCCGCTATTTCCCGTCTTAAACTTAGTCATCTTCCCTGTTTAGGCTGTTAATGCCTGGTCCTTGTCCAGCTCAGCTGGGCCAGCACTGCAGACTAACAGAAAACGTTCTTTCAAACCTGGGCTCTCCTGGATGAGACAATAAACACTTGGTGTGGCTTTTCTGGCTTGCTGTGCACTGCAAGCCTGTTTCCTGCAGTGGGGTTTGGTGCTCAGATGGCATCAGAGACCTGTGGAACCCCTCCTAGCACTGCACTGTAGTAGTCAGTGCAGAAGCTGTGCAAGCTGCCTGGTCTCAGAGCAGGGGCACTGGTAAAATGGATTCCCAGGGCATTACTCCTCTATTCTTAGATGAGCAGTCTTGAGACACATGCATTTATATCTGAGTTTACAAAAAAACCCCAAAAAGTCCATTGCTTACCTGAACTGGGCCATTCCTCTGTGTATTTCCCAGATTTCCTGTGTTTATAACTGGTATTCCTCCTCTCTGGCTCATTTGTTGAGATTCCTCAGGACAGAGACAGCCTTTTAGGGAACACCTATAGGGAAAAGCAAGATTTGATTGCAAGAGGGATCAGCAAGCTGGGCTTGCTTTAATCTGGTTTTGCACAGAGAGCCTGAGGAGGTGCTAAGACACTTCAACACAACTCTTAACTTGCTAGCTAAGGTTCCCATTGCCATCTTGCCCGTTACCCTATTTAGAAAGGTTGGACTAGATGATCCTTGAAGTCCCTTCCAACCTGACATTCTATGATTCTTTGATTCAGGTGGTTGCCTCATACAATAAACCTGTATATATGTGGGGTTTTTGTTTTGGGTTTTTTTGCAGCCCTTAGAAACAGTTCAAGGACCTTTGGGAAGTGCAGAGCACTGGTTGCAAACTGCTGGTCTAGAACAGCAAAGCTATGTCCTATTGTAATAAGATGAGAAACAATACTGATTAAACAGAGACTAGAAACATTTTTATTCTAGAATTGGCAGGAGAGGAATCACTTGAAAAATACAGTTTCATGATGCTTTTGACATGAGTGGACTTTTTGGTAAAACCTCAGAGCTCCCAGGATCATGGTTGTTCATTCCTCGACAGAGATAATGAGTAACAGGATGTTGTTGAGGGCTCAAATAATCACAGAATCTGGAGCATTAACGGAATTGTTGTGTAAAACAAAGAAGTTGTTCCAGACAACTGGAAATGTGGTTCTCAGTTTAATTTGTTAATAATGCCTATAATTTTTCTAGCCTTGTTTTGACAATAATTGCTTGCAAAATAATCATACAGGAGGATGACTTGCATGCTCTTTGTGGATCACAATAGTTTGTCTGACTACTGAAAAAAAAGCAAAAGCCATAGAGAAAGTAACAATGATAAGCACAGATGCCAAAGTCCTCTGAATTTCTTAGATCTCTCTCAAAGCCACCAATCTGCATAGCTGGAATGTGGTGTACATCCAGAGGGGCTCCTGGAGTGGTCTGGCAGTGTTATGTCAGGAACGTACCAACAGCACCTTGCAGAAGCGAGCGAGGGGCTTTGATACAGGCCCCATTTATTACTTGGCCTAAAGGCTGGAGGGAAAGCTTAAACCCCCAGGGCCAGATCTCCCCCCTCAGTTTGGAGCTGAGCCAATTCAGAGGTCTGGTCTTACAGCTGCACCTTGCAGTGCAGGTTTTATTTTGGGGCACAATGAGACTGGCAGCTCTGCATGCCACCCTTGTGCTGTGGCCATCATTCCACGTGACCCATCTGGTTTTAGTAGGTGCTGAGCAGTTGTTTAGGTCTGTGTGCAGTTTTTTTACCTGCAGGACCATGTCTTAACTCCCCACATCTCTTGTCTGTCCTGTGGTACATTAAATCCAAGACTGTCTTGTGTTACAAAGTTGGGAAATGCAGCAAAGTTCGTGTGAAGTCCATGTGTGTGTTCTACATGAAGTCTCTTATCCTGAAAAGGGACATCTGGGAGCAGGGCTGTAGGAAATGTACCCCAAATCAAACCTCTTTGCACTTCTGTGTGAATCTTATAGTGATTTCCTGTTCTTTGGTCACCTCCCAGAGAATCTGGAATGGATCTCAGAGTGGGAGAACAGAGGTCTGAATTTGATTTGCTTGTTGTCTGGAGTAATGGTTGTCCTGTATGTCAGAGGTGAGCAGAGCTGGCTGACACAAACCATGGCAGCAATTGCTGAGAGCCTGAAAACTGTAGGTTTTTAGGGAAGGAGAAGGGATTATAATTATTGTAATTTCCAAATTTGTTTTCAGATAAGATCTTGTTGGGAATTGTGCAGCAGTTTGCTTCATGCACTGAGTCAGGGGAGAGGGAACTCTACCTCCTGTCTTGCTTCCAGCTGGTAACTGGTTTTGTGCTCTGATAAAAATAGTCTTTCCCAGAGAAAAACCCAGCTGCTATGTGCAGTCATTCCTAACTAAACCACCCATCTCCAGGGTGGTGCATCCCAGAGCTGGTCCTGCTTGGCTTTTCATGCAGCAGAGTGACTCCAAGGAAACCTTGTCAGCTCTGTGGAAGCCCATGTGGCTCTGCTGGCCTGACAAGGCTCACA